AGTTCAGGCTAAAATCTTTTGATTTACACGTATAACCAAAAAATCAATATTTCTATATAAAAATCAAAATTTATTTGTTATTTATAATTATAAATTTTAAAGGAATTCACAAACAAAATTTTAATTTAATATAAATAATTTTTATAAAAATTAACTTTTGATTTAAGTACAGTTAATTTAATCTTAACTTAACTTTAACTAAATTAATTTTTTGTTCATGCAACTTTTAACCCCTTGAATGTCAGGCAAGAAACACGCTGTGCCAAAGATACTATATAATATAATGATATAAACTTAGAAATATAAAGTACGTCACTTTTTCGAGATTTTTTATGGTGCCGATCAGAAATCCAAGGTTAGAATTCCAAAATTCAAAATAGCGAATAATAACCTCAAAAATTTTTCGATTCGCTGTATTGCTAATTATCGGTTTAATTTTAAATTTTCAATATCAAAAAAATATTTTATCTGATACATTGAACCGGTATTTGAAAAATAAAATATAACTTTTTAACTATACTATAATTTTGAAGAATTATTATCCGTCATATATGTATATTGGATCCGCAATTTTCAATTTCTAAAATCCGATATCAAACTTATAATCAGCGACCTCAAAAACATTAAAGTATGCATTATTAGTTCAATTGCTACACTGTAAATGTGATTTATTGGCGTTATATAATAAAATATGCGGATTTTTTCGTCATGAAGCACTTAAATTTTGGCCAGTTTTATTTTGGCGGATTTTTCCGTCATTGACACCTCTTATAGAAATTTATCACTAGTAACGCTAATTAATCACGAGTATTTCGAGTACTTAAAATACTGATATACAGTAATTCAAGTATTCGAAATAATTGATTGAGTACTCGAAATAAGTGATAAATTGGCGTTACTAGTGATAAATTTCTATAAGGGACTTAAGGGGTTAACTTAATTATTTTAATTTTATAAGCAACTAACTTTAACTTAACTGACAATTAGTTTAAAAAATCACTAACTTACCCAACTTACCTGGGCACAGGTTATTTGGTTGAGAGATGTAATAATGAATACCAAATTGGTTATTTTCGAACATTCGTCTTCATGCGAGATCCTCAACTGAATCCTTCAATATTCAGCAAAAAGAAATCTTCAAAGCACAAGAACACCATAGTCAAACAAATAGTTGAAATTGACTTCCATTAGTATCCAAGTTTTATCAAATATGAAAAGTAATTCAGTTATCTCGAAATTCATCACCAATTCTTTTAATCCATAAGGTTTATTACACACAAGTTCACAATGACACAAGTAATTAAGAAAGGAAAATAATTAATAGTAAGTGCTATTATTATTGTTGTTCAATATGAATAATGATAATAATAGCTTTTACTATTAATTATTTTCCTTTTTTAATTACTTGTGTCATTGTGAATTTGTGTGTGATAAACCTTTATATGCACTCAGTGCGCACTGGTGCATCCAATCGAATTCGCTATAAGACTTCTTTCCCTGTTTTCTCTACACAAATTAACTCCTCTCATTATTTGTGCATAAAGGTATCTTTTTATGTATCGCTCATCGCTCGTTTTCGGCGATATGACGTCACGTAATCGCTATAGAAACATAATTTTGTAGTTGGATTTTTCGAACTACAAACGATATTAACAAGTGTGAAAGACAACTTTGAAATTTATGAATCAAATGGATAATGAAAGTGTAACATACTCAATCTACAAAAAATATTTAATTTAATGAAAAATTATTATTCGCTCGTGTATAATGTTTAAACAATCCGCATATAAGTAAGCGGAAAAATTACGAAAGGATATCTTTTTTAACATTTGACTAATTAATAATTGTATTAACCACTCACAGTGCACACCGAAAGTAACAATAATTTCTCGCAAACAAATGATGAAATTTCACGGGATAATTTCTCAATAACGATCTCATCATAGCAAATACGCACGGATGATAAATCAGACAGGACACAATGTAATACGCATAAATTTTCCAACATTAAGATACTCGATCCGAAATAACGTAGTAGTAATGTTAAGAATTATATTTAATTATATGTAATTGTAATACTGAAGAATGAAGAAGACTGCATGCAGTCTTTCACTTGTTAATATCGCTTGTAGTTAAAAAAATCCAACTACAAAATCATGTCGCTAGCGATTACGTGACGTCATTATATCGCCGAAAACGAGCGATGAGCGATATCTGAAAAGATATCTTAAAACGAAAAATAAAATCTCTGAAATATAAATATTTACGAATTACTTCATAGTTTATGTATATTTATATCAAATTACAGTTAATAACACAAAAACATTAACATCTCATTAATCACCCAATTTTTTTACCATTCTACCCTTATAACTTTTTATGTAGAATATTGCGAGGAATCGATTTATGTAAAAAAAACATAATGGTTCCATTTAAGAAGTTAAAAGTCACCTTTACATGATCTTCAAACAATTAGCCAAAGTCAAATCATTGTCACCGTTTTATGTCCCCTTAAAACCATACTTTTATATGAAACATTTTTCAATAAAATCATTAGTTTGTGAAATATAGCTCTAAACTTTAAAATGGGACAGCCTGTATATAAGGCTATAATAATTTATCTACGGCAGGATAGTAATATTTATATTTGTGTAAGACATTCGTATACTTTTCAATTCAATATTGAACGCTGGACTAATTGTTAATTTTGCTGATTACTAACAGCTTATATTAAGAAAAAATTTCCAATTTAAAAAATTTTCTAAGTTTCAATAAAATTTCATGTGAATTTTTTGAATTTTCAAAATAAAACTTTTTCTCACCAAAAAAAACTTTTCGTATTACTCAGATAATTGAAAAATAATAACATAGTATTACAATGCATAATTACCCAGATAGCCACAGTAATTATTATGACATCATTTTGATGTCAAAATGCATCATTTGCCATCAAAATGATGCATTTTGATGTCATAATAATTACTGTGGCTATCTGGGTATATGCTGTATTATAAAAAGAGAATAAAATTATATATATTTGATCTATTAGATTTATAAATTAAATTTTTATATACTATATATATACATATATACCAATAATTATATATTATATACCAATAATTATATCTAAAAAAATAATATATATTATACATATTAATGTTAAAATAAAAATTTTTATAAATATATGTGTATTAAATATATATATTTATATATGAAATGTTCATAATGTTATTAGATTAAAAATAGTCTACGTGAAATAAGTATATATTTATTACAATTGATACAGGCAAATGAAAAATTTGCTTATAATATTCGCCGTAATTTGTTATAAACGTTCTTATTATTTAATACTTTATTTAAGTAACGATACTTGAGTATTAATACTATTAATACTATTAACACTACTAATTCATGTACTACTAGTATTAATACTATTAATACTAATGTATTCTCATTAGATATCACGCTATTAGATTTCTATTCAAGTTTTCAATTAGTATTCCATTAATAAATACTGTATAGTAGCAAACATGATATACACACAGAGCAAAAGTTTATCAGAGGCAAAGCATATCGAACTATTTATAATGACATTCAACACCATTCATGAGTAATGTTCAGAGGCCTAATAATTCCTTTCTTTTTATTAACTGTACGTGTATATTTAATTTAGTATTCAACAAATACTATGCAGCAACAAGTTTGAGCAAAATTTCTGTACCATAGAAAATGATGTAAATGTATAAAACAGTTATTCAAAGATAATAAAATTTTTTATCCATAATAATATGTATAACACCATCGTTATATCATTTTTCTTTCAAACTTAATGTGTGAATATTTATCCATAAAAAAATTCTGCAATAATCTCTAATAGATACATTATAATTAATAAGATTACTGCGATCCCTTACTGCGTCATATTGAATTACATTACATTACAAGGGATAAATTATATAAATTTTTTTATTGTGTTATACATACATCAATTTAAATTAATATTTTCGTACACCATCACTTCTTGATAGATTGGTAAAATAGGCCAGTGTGTGTTTCTTTTTCGGGATTCGTTGATTAACAAATAGTCATAAATCTTGATTAATTGTAACAATTTATTTCGGCTGGAAAAATGCAGAATATATAGATTTATAGTTACACATATGTATATTCTACATGAATGCAGGATAATAAAAAAAAAGATTTTTCGATATTTTTTACCAATACATATTGAATAAAAGAGTGGTGACATACAAAAAAACTAATTTATATTTTATGTATTTGGTAAGAAAAAAAATCATTTTTTTTTGCTTCTGATATCACATATCGTTTCAATATCGTTGCAGTGAGGAAATGGAAGCTTTATAAAGGGATTTACAAAAATCGACTATCTTGATTCAAGATATCTATAATCGCATTCTGTAAGAAAATTTTCGCTCCTCAGCTCTGTAGCTCTTTTCTTTTTTCGTTCTTGCTCTTTCTTTTTTGCTCTACATTGCTACATAGCTTACAGAAATACAGCGTTACAGAGCATTTTTATAGAATAGACCCACTAATCTGAATCAATATAATTCATGCTGACTTCATAATTTGATAATTTATTTTTAAATATATATAGGGTAGAGGAAAAAGGTATTTGCAACTAGCAGTTACATATTTTTTTCTTACAAATAACTACATGTTTTCTTTACATCAATTAATTTCTCTTATTTTTTGTGCATAAATATATTTCGGTAAGATGAACAAAAAATTAATATTTTACGAAATATTGCATACAGTTTATGTAAGATTAGATCAAATTAAAGTATAAAATATCTCGTAAATTATTATTTTCTTTTGCCATCCTACTCCTAACTTATGCAGAATATTGCGACAAATCGATTTATGAAAAAAATAGTGATCAAATTAAAAAATTTCAAGATGACTTTGTCCTGATCTTGGCGATGCCGCCCAATGTCAAACTGATAAGATCAATAAATAAATCTTTTTAAACCCTACAACTTTTATCTGAAAGTTTTCTAGAAAACTTATATTTATATTTATTTATTTTAACTTTTCGAGTTATTCGGGGGTTTCGACCTTTTTTCCTCATCCTGTAGAATAAAATTCTTTAAGTTTAATAAATAAATTATTACTGCGCTTATTATCAAATGCATTTGTAATAATAATTATACAATTAATAATAATAATTACACAATTCATTACACGTCCATTTAAAACCCAATCATATGCTAAATCAAATTGTTACATATAAATAAGATATGCAATATTGCATCTCTCTTTTTAGCTCCGCATTATATAAAGAAGATAATAAATAATAATGATATTAATAAATTGATATCTTTGATGATTGAATATTTTTGATAATTATATCTCTTTAATGAGCTATATTGTTAAAGTAGGCTATGCATTTAAACAAATCTCTTACGTTTTTAACCAAGTGAATCGATGGCTGTAGTAGTAAGACCATTTTGATTAATAGTGGTCTTGAATTGTTCTGGTATTGGGTATTCATTCTGTAATATAATATATTTATATAATTTCTCGAGATATATGTGCATCTACAAATTAATTGTAAAACAAACTTACATAATCTCCGTTGCTCTTGGGTACCATAACATTCATTTCACTAGATTTGCTAGTAATCAGTTCAACATTCAACGATTCTGCATTTAAATACATTTGACAACCGTCCGTCTTGTCTATGGAAATTGTAGGTACTTTTCCAAGAACCTGTAAACATACAAAACAGATTTAATTATTAAAAATTAGGCTATATACCGACATAAGCTTTAATATTCAGAGAAATTAACAATATAGGATGCTTTTCAACATTTTTATATTTAGTACCATTTTTTATATTTACATTTTTATATTTTATATCTTTATATTTATATTTAGTTATTATTTTTTTACAGAATAATACTTTGGAAAGTAAGAAAGAAGAGATAAACTTTAAAAAGCTTAAGAGTGATGACAAATTTCGCCCATTTTTTGGACCTCAAATTTCAAATTTTTTTTCATGGCAAATAGTACTATATGATGACATTAAAATTTCAAGATAAGATACGCACGGTTACGGAGATACAAAGGGATGAAAGTGATGATTTTTAGTCAGGGTGTATGAGAACTTTACTTTTACTTCTTCATATCTCCGAAACTGTGCCTATGCTCATCTTGAAATTTTTCTGAGATTAATGTCTCATCATATAATACTATTTGGCATAAAAAAGTTTGAAATTTGAGGTCCCAAAAAAATTCGACTCTATAAAATGAACGAAAAAACAAATCTTTTTGCCATCACTCTTTTGAAAAACTATATGTAAAGCGACTGCGCTGCCCTCTGGCGGTGAAATTAAGAAAAGTAAGCAATGTTCCAGTTACAAGTCGGAACTGATAATAGTTGCTTTCCATTTACATCAAAACTCAGAAAAATCTCACTTCTGTTTTTCTTTAACATGGATGTTGAAGAAAGACAAAAATGAGATTTATCTGAGTTTTGATGTAAATGGAAAGCAACTATTAGTTTCTTCAACATCCATGTTAAAGAAAAACAGAAATGAGATTTATCTGAGTTTCAATATAAATGGAAAGCAACTATTGTGTCACAATTATCATACAATATCCATTGCTGAAAAACACCCATATTCAGATTACTACGTTTAAATGACAATTGCTGATGCACGCTAACTTCTCGGATTTTTAACATCCGAGTTGAACATATCGCTAATGGAAGATTTCGAGAATTTGACAGTTCTTTCGAATTTTTTATGTATAATTTATCTATGTTACTTGAACAAAATACAATTTATAAAAAATGCCGTGGAAAGTTGGTAAGATCGGTTTTTATATATTTTATTACATTTATCATATTATATATTAATCTCTTAGACTTAAATTACACACATATATATATATATATATATATATATGATCTGTACTGAAGAGATCGATTTTCCAAAGAATTCAACGAATGGAAACATTTAGGTGGAAGTTTCGAAACTGCGGCAGTCACATGCGAGAGAGATTGGAAGGAATGTGCAATCGCAGTGGTAAATTATTTATGGTGCGAAGTGGTGTCCGACGTCGTCGATTATTTAACGAAGGAAGGAATGATATGGGTGAAATTTATTTTAAATTTTGTTTTATAAATTAAATTTTTTACATTAATTTAATTAATATTTTAGAAATTTATTTAAATTGTTTTATAACTTCTATTGTTTGTGTTGGATCCTCGCCGCAATTATATTCAATTGTGACATCAAAGACAAGAAAGAATTGTTAGCGTGTATTTTCTCACCTCTGACGTCACAATTCTAACATGTAGTTGACAATTTAATTTTATTAATTTTTAAATTTTGTTTTAAATAATATTTAAGTTTTTTAGCCTAAATTTTTATAAAATAAATTTAAAATTGTTTCCTCTGAAGTATCAAGTATTTCAAGTAGTTCAAGATAACTTTTGATTACTTCATATACTTCTCTCTATAATATTTAAAGGTTCTCGTGATAGTCATCACTTCCACGATACTTATCCGTATAAAATATCGCAAAAAGATACGCACGGAACATATTGTGCTGAATAGACAAGTATTAGGTAAAGTTGGACATAAGATTCATGATTTAGAATTGAAGGTCAATGTCCTAACGTATAAAATGCAATATGGAACGTGGCCATTACCGCATCAAATATATAATTTAAATCCAAAGAAATTACGGAAGATTAGGATGACATTATCCAATCCGGATGACTGGAAAAAGTACACAAAGAAATCAAAAATATTAACTAATTATTTTTTTCAATAATTTAATTATTATTTTATTTAATAATTTAATTATGTATATAAATAGTAAATAGACTTCGTTCTTACGTCTGCAATAATATTAATCTCCTAAAACTTTAAATATTAGTCCTATAAAATTTATTGTTTATTTATTGTTTATTAATAATAATTTAGAAGAAGTGCACAAAGTGCTTTTGAGGCAATTTGCACAATAACTGATATAACTTATTTTATTAGAATACGTTCACGGAGGCTGTGTGTAGAAAATGTGAGTGAGAAAGGAAGTGATCTTTCTTTGAAAAGTGAAGATTCCACATTACAATGGCAATTTCTACCTTTAAATTCGAACGAAATTAATAATCGTCAATCTTCAAGAAAGCTCTTAACGCAGAATGGCAAATATCCAACATATTTGACGAATAATACATATAACTTTTGTGAAAAATTCACAAATACCGTGTATAAATGTAAATCGTTCCTTAAAGAATTGGAATTTAATAATAAATGTTTGCATTCGTTGAGTAATTCCGATATTTCCTCGGAAACGAGTAAAGCTTCTTCTTTGAAAACTGAAATTCATTCGAAACAAGTAAGATTTATTAATTATTATCAGTGTTGGGTAGAGAGAGTATCTAGATACATTTTGTGTATCTGAGATATATTCGAATTGAAGTATCTATATCTATATCTAGATACAAAACATGGTATCTGAATTGCTTTTTTCAGATACATTTGCAGATACATTTTCACATATTTTTTTGAATAGCCCAATTCTTTAAATTTTTAAAAGATCAAGACTGCAAGTTATCAACATATCAACCGATTTTTTGACCGATTATTAAGCATTGGCAAATTTGAGTACCATGGCGAAATAGTTTAAGTGACAATATCTTTGAGGCATTTTTCACGTGTTAAGACTTACGAATAAAGTCGTAATATAAACAAAAATATTAATAAAGATAAAAGAATTATTCAGTGCATTTTGTGCATATTACCATTATTATGATAAAATATAATTTAAAAGTATCTGATATGTATGAAATACTTTTAGAGTATCTGAGTATCTATATCTGTATACATTAATTTGTATATCTGTATCTAGATATACTATCTAGATGTATCTAGATATATTTTTTTACACGTATCTGTATCTGTATCAAGATACATTTTAAATTTATCTTACCCATCACTGACCATTATATTAACAAATAGTGTTTCATTTTTCTTTTTTTCAATTTTTGTATGCAATATTTTCTCGTCACAGTTATATAGGTTCAGCAATATTTGACTATTAATAGCTATATAAGACATGTCATAAGCGAGAAAATACACGCTAAAAATTCTTAGATGCCATTTCGAAATAAAATTTTTTTTATTTTATATAGTTTTATATTTTTAACAATACTTCAGATAACTTTAGCACACTCTTAAAGTCTAAAAATTTTCAGCGTGTGCTTTCTTGCCTCTAACGTCATAATCTAACATTTTTTTGACCGCGGCAAAAACTCAGGAATCTTAATCAAAATGGTATACTTTCTATAATTTTACTATATAATTTAATTTCATATATTATAATATTTATTTAATTTTCCAATTCTTTATTTTTTATATTTTAGGTAGCTTTACTTATGACAGAAAAAAAGAAGACACATTCTCGTGATGCTTATGCAACGGAAAAAGAAGAAAAAATGAATGAGATAAAATGTGTGAAAAAGGAGGATGAAATTATGCAAAATGCTAATAAAAAACACGATGCGCCATCGAAAGAATTGATTCCGATTTTCCCAATAAGCAAAAAAGCAACGCATAATACACAATCGTCACGAAAAACTTTGTTCGAAGTTAAAAAGAGACTTCGCAGTTTACATAATATGTTGCGAACTTATCGGAATAAGAGTCTTCGATCGTCGGAAAGACAAAAATCGATAGATAAAATCAATGGAATCGATGAAGAAAGTTTATCTTCCTCGGTCGAATATTCATTGAATACATCTAAAGTGTATCAATGTTCTAATAATGACATCAAGAAATATTTTAATCATTTTTTATCATCCGAATCATCTTTCGAGGATCCAAATATTCAAATTCAAAATAAATCTTTAATTCAAAATATGTCTTCAATGAAACCTCCAATTCAAAATATATCTTCAGTTAAATCTTCAATTCAAAATATACCTTTAATTAGATCTTCGAGTCAAAATATATCTTCAAAGCTTTCAGTTCAAAATATATCTTCAATTAAATCTTCAATTCAAAATACATCATCAGTGAAACCTTCAAGTCAAAATATATCTTCACCTAAATCCATTCAAAATATATCTTCAAAGCTTTCAGTTCAAAATATATCTTCAATTAAATCTTCAATTCAAAATACATCATCAGTGAAACCTTCAAGTCAAAATATATCTTCATCTAAATCCATTCAAAATATATCTTCAATTAAGAACTTTACTATTAACGAAGAACAAGGAAATGTAATAACATCTCAAAATGGCAGCCAAAGCAAAATGTCAAATAATAGCGACGGAGAAGAAAAATCTACAGCATTATTGCTTCGAGAAGCTTTGCATTTTAAAAAGGTCTTATTAACACGTGTTCGAAAAAAGTGTCCGATAGATGATGAACTTCTGTCGGAATTGAATGACCCTAATTTTCCATCGATAATAGTGGATGTCGAAGTGGAAGAGCCACCTACTGGTGATTTTCACGACAAGATCAATCAATGTTGCATTTACTTAGACATGAAGCAACGACGCGACATGTTTCCTGAATTATTGCAGCAAAAAATAAGAGAGAATCAAAATTGCATTTCCGAAACACCTTCGCAATATTTTAGCATCACCAATCTGATGCATTCTGATAACGTTGCCTTAAAGCCTCCTCCGGTTTACGAAAAAGTAATTTCAATTGCGATACCAGTTAGCGTGGATCATCAAGGTGAAATTGATAAATCGATGCGAGCAAAAACCATCTTGAGGCATATTCAGTTCGAAGATGTCATATTGGAACATATTCAAAGTATCAGAGATTACATAGACACTTTTCTTCAGAGTCAGAACAGAGCGATCTCCAAAGGTAAACGTGACATTCTACGATGTTTGAACGAAACAAGTCACGCAATACTGCGATCAAGAAGCGCTGATCAAGAAGTTCACAATTCGTCTGATCCTTCAATAAATACAGGCCCGAATTACAAACATAAAATTTCTATCAAAGATAATACCTTAAAGTGCTATTCGGACATGTGTTTGAGAAGAAATCCAGGAATATTTACGATTGAAAATAAATTCCTTGATAAGAATAATGCAATAAACTTGAAGAAGCAAGAAATCGCTTTGTCTCTTCCGATAACTTTATATCAAGGATATAAAAATAGCTCGAAGTCTGCGCATAATTTTGACAATTGTCAAAAGCATGTTGTGACAGATATAAAAAACGACAAAATAAGGGAAAAAAAGAAATAGTCGGTATAAATACAAATCTTCAGAAACGGACGCAAATCGCTAAAAGTAAATAATTTAAATAATTTAAAATAAAATTATGAAAACTATCTGAAACAAATATATGTCGCACATTTATCGTCTCCAATCAAGAATTATTCGATAGAATATTTATTGCAGATGTATTTCCAAATCACAGTTGAAAACGATCTTTAATAACTAGAAAGAAAAAGTAGGATTTAAATATGAACATACATATAAAAGTATCACATTCAGTTTCAATGTACTGTAATACTTTAAAAATGAAGTGGAGAAAATTATAACATATAAATGGACATGTACAATATTTATCCAATTTATGTAAATATTTTTAAGCTTTTTATTTAAATTCTCTTTTATAAGAATGTATAATTTTATATATATTATATCAGTTTTTATTTTTTCTAAATACACGTTTTTATATTTTTATACACTGAATTATTAAATATTTGTAAAAAATTAAGAGCAACTTTTTTCTTCAAAGAAAAAACTTTATTCTGGCAATAATTTTTTTAAGGTATTAGTTGATATTATTTATATCTAATATCTTTGTTTAAAACCGTGATAATAAAAAAAATATGCTAATAAAGATATTGCATTTATACATACCTGCATTTGTACGCTTTGACAATTAACAAATTCGATACTTGATACAAGAGAATCAAATACAATAGATGATTTACGACAAGAATCCATAACGACGGAATTCACTTTGCCTTTAATAGTGAGTGTACTATTTTGACATCGAAACATATAAATCACATTATTCATTTCCACGTTATCGATTACTAAATTTTCTCCCTTGTGATATTCCTGTAAAGGAAAAAAAATATAATATTAATACATTTTGTGTGTGCGTGTGCGTGCGTGTGCGTGCGTGCGTGCGTGCGTGTGTGTGTGTGTGCGCGCGTGTGTGTACGTGCGTGCGTGGGTATGCGTGTGTGTATATGTGTGGGTACGTACGTGTGTATTAAATATAAATATTGATATTAATACTAATCAAATTAGAAAATATTTTTATCGGCTCTCAATATTAATAATAATAATATAATAATGATAAATAATTTATCATTATTATATTATTATTATTAATATTGAGAGCCGATAAAATTATTTTCTTATTTAATTTATTTCACGCCTGGGCCTAATCATCGCATTATTTACTAACATCTATTATAAGGCAAATGAAAAATATTGGATCGAAAGGGTCTGAATAGCTTAGTGGTAAGAGCAGTCGCCCGGAAAGTGAAAAACGCGGGTTCGATTCCCGCTTCAGCAACTTTTCGGACCTATATTTTTCTCGCCTATTTTTCCATATGTAAGTTCGAGTTTAATATATGGAATTTAGTAATCTCAAACCAAGAGATACAGTTCTGAAAAATTAATTTTCGTGCTTGGGCTCTTTGGCCGATTTAAGAATCATTATTATATTAATACTAATATTACAATAATTATTAATATTAATATAATATTATATAATTATATTAAATATATATTAATATATATATACATATATATATTAATATTAATATTAATCAGAGTTGAGAAGTAAGTTACTTGTAACGTCGTTACCGTTACTGTTACTTTTTTTCGGTAACGATCGTTACTTTTTTCTATCTGTAACGGTGACGGTAACGTCGTTACATTTTTACAGTAACGGTAACGAATTAGCCGTTACTTTTTAGTTATCTCTGAGTTAATATTAAATTCATATAATAAATAATAAAGATTACATGCAATAAATGCAAGTAAATATTTAATATTAAAAAACGCTTCCTATATATAATTATACATTTTAATAATAATAGGCTCTAGCATTACAAAAACCGAATATGTAACGAGAAAGTAACGCATCGTTACTTTGTGAGTAACGGTAACGCGTTACTTTTTACAAAAAGTAACGGTAACGGTAACGCGTTACTTTTATAGAGTAACGGTGGCAATTCTGAATATTAATATATATTATAATAAAGGTATATACATGCAAATAAATAACCCAGCAACCACCGATATATAATTATTACATTGCTATAATAAAACGGAATATAACAGGTAATATAACGTGTACGTTACATGTAACATCCATGTTAGTTGTAATTTCCCACTCATAGATGTAACATTTTTAATATAACATATATTACATTGGAGTTATATTGTAATTATATACCAAATAGCACATTGATGTATTGATAAGTCAGTGCTATCTTGGGATATAATGACAATATAACTACAATGTAATATATGTAATATTAAAAATGTTACATCTATGAGTGGGAAATTACAACTAACATATACGTTACATGTAATATGCTTAAGTATATAACATTTATATACTGTGTTTGCTGGGAAGTAAAAAAATATAGATATTTATCTGTTTACTTATCTGTTATGAAACATTAATTACCTACCACAAGCCATTTTTTACCATCTCGAGTAAATACTGGTGATTTGTCAATAGGCACATTTGCCGGTAAAACACTTTTTATCGGTGTCACATTCGCAACCGCTGGTGCTTTAAATGGCGCAGGTCCGGATCTCAAAGCGGGATTTTTATGCGTTTGCATATCCGAAGTAACTTTTTTCAAATCTACAGGGGATATAAATATTAGATACTGTAATTAGGGGTAACATCAAATTTAATATATGTATATACATACTATGGACTTGTTTAATTTATTTTATGTTCAAAATATCCATCATGAATATTTAATGAATTAAATAAGTGAGTACTATGATTTTGATGTCATATGATTCCCGAGCACTTCAAGTAGCTCTTTAAGGATCCCCACCATGTTAGATTGTGACGTTAGAGGCGAGAAAACACATACAGAAAATTCTTATATAGATGACATTTCGAAATAACTAAAAATAAGGTCTAAAAATTTGTAGCGTGTTTTTTCGCCTCTGACGTCACAATTCTAACTGGATAGAACTAGAAACCTTAAACAGTCATATTTTTTTCATAGAAACATCTGACAAAAAATGTTTCAGGTAAAATTAAGCTTTGTTTATCACAGAATCCAAAAATCTAATTTTATATATATAGTATATATATTCTATTAAAAATTGTATAGTTAATCCTCGCTCTATCCACGCAATCGAGGTTTGGAAATTAATATCCATTCAAGTTTGAAGACCTTTCAGATTCATACATTTCAAGACTTGAATCTTTAAAATCAATGACATAATTTCCGAAATATTAAGCTGTCAGTGAAGCTAAAGTTGAGTGTGTGTGTGTGTGTGTATGTGTGGGTGTGGGTGTGGGTGCGGATGTGTGTGTGTAAGTCATTCTGTATATATGCATAATATAAAATAACAAGTATGACAATATAAAATTTCTCATAAATTATTATAAAAGATTCAAACATGTGTACTTGATTCAGATTCAAGTCTGAACATTTTTTTTTTTTTAAGTAATTCGAAACAATACAAATTCGAATTACTCAAGTAACAAATTGACGTCATTAGACGTTAAACTGACGTCATATGACGTCATTTTGACATCAAAATGACATACATTTGTTACTTAGGATTTATAATTTCATTTCTAATACCTACGACAATTGTAAAAGAATAAAAAATAATGATCCATGACAAAAAAAGGAAAGAAAATAAATATTTACTTTTTGTGATATCCTCTCCCTGATTAATCTGAGCAAAGAGAGCGCTCCTATCATCGTTCACCACGTTTAGTGAGAGATCTTCGATTGGCATCGAAGGAGGTGGAGGAGGTGGTATCCCTATAGGTGCAGCACCAGTTTTTCCCCATACCAAACCTGTCGTATGATGTTGACGAACGTATTGCTGCAGCTCGGTCAACGTTTGTACCCATGCTTTACACCAGTCTATATGTATTTTATCTCTATAAAGAAAGAATTATAGCGCACATTTCATTTTTATTTAATTATAAATATATATTTAAATATAAATATTTAATTAAATATTTTGATTTTTGTTTAATTATATAAATTATAAATATATATTTAAATATAAATATTTAATTAAATATAAATTAGATTTTTATTTAATTATAAATATACAAATAATTCTAAAAAAAACTTTACTTTTCTTTCCAGTCTTTCAATACACGATTAGTGTAAAATTGACCAGCGTCATTCATTTCTTTTATATACGGAGCTGGCGTAGGAGACACGGCAACCCATCCTAAAGCCGGAATACTCTCGCTAATTCCTGACAAATGGTTAAAGAACGGGGATCCGCGATTTTTCTCGCGAAAATCTTGGATCTGCTGGATCTGCAAGGACAGGGGCGCGAACAGAGAAACTTGTTCGGATTGATTTGCTGGTGCAGGACGATTTACCGCCGTTCGCACGAATTGCAGCTGAATCCTAAAATTAATTTTAATTATTTAAAATAATTTATTTGGCGCATTTTACATTTTACAATATATATACAGGATGTCCCGCAATGTGATGTCCACAGTGAAACTTTGTATTCTTGGGATCATTCTAACAATAAGTCAAAATAAGTCAAAAAGTCTTAATATACATATGCCCTAAAGATTGTTTTAAAGTTATAGCGAAAAGACGAAATTGCATATAATAAGATAAGTATTATTTATTGAAAATAATAATTTTATTTATTAAACAATAATATTATATAATAATTAAATACTTTATAAACTGTGCGATAATATAAATCATAAAGGTGTTTTTCTCGCACTTGTGCGGTAAAGTAAGGCATGCATTAAATCGTTGAAAAATAAGTCACCATCCGCACGCTTAACAGCAATCGAAATTCAAACTTTCGTGACTGGCATTACAAAAAATAATTACATGTGTTGTCATAGTAAAAAAACAAAAAATAAATGTGTAAATAATATTTAAAAATTAATTTTTAATTATTTACAATTTATTTATTTTTTTTTTCACTATGACAACGCATGTAATTTTTTGTAATGCCAGTCACAAATATTATAATTTCGATTACTGTTTAGCGTGCGGAAGGTAGTTTATTCCTCAACGATCCAATGTATACCTACTTTAAGTACAAGTGTATGGCACGCCATTTTGCTATTTATTAATAAGATTTTTTAATATAAAATAAAATTTCAATAACCGATTTGAACTGAAGCAGATATTTCTTCAAAACTATTTTTATTATGTCATAACATAATAAAAATAAATAAAAATTATATCTTGACATAAAATTAATTCAAAATACATATAGAAAAATAGACACAATGATAACTTATTAAATATTACGAGGCCATGTGTAACGAGCAATAAAAAATTATTATAAAACTTGGAAAAACTTTAATTTAAAAAAACCAATTACAAACGTTTCGAACTATACTTAGTCTTCTTCAGTGCGCAATAAACATAATAATAAATAAATAAATATAAATAAAAATTCTAATAAAAAGTTGCAATACAATGTCAAAATAAATTAAATAATTATGTCAAAATTAAAAGGCAAAATACGTTAACAATAAATTTAAATTATTAAAAATAGTTCAACACGAACAGTCCCAATTAGAAGCAAAAATTGAATTAAAATAATTCATCCGGCTAATCAATATTATTTTAAAAATTATTATTGAGAACTCGGAGTGGCACTTAAACATTACTCCAAACCAATCGCTCATCGTTAGTCGGCGAAAGGCTATCAGTCCGGCAATGATCGTGTCCATCCTCTCCAAGTTCTTTTAAATATTATATATAAACTAAATTTAAAAATTTTATAATATAAAATAGAAATCAACTTATGTATGTGTAAAAAATTCCCAGCAAACACATTATATAAATGTTATATACTCAAGCAAGTTACATGTAACGTATATGTTAGTTGTAATTTCCCACTCATAGATGTAACATTTTTAATATTACATATATTACATTGTAATTATATTGTCATTATATCCCAAGATAGCACTGACTTATCAATACATCAATGTGCTATTTGGTATATAATTACAATATAACTACAATGTAATATATGTTATATTAAAATGTTACATCTATGAGTAGGAAATTACAACTAACATGGATGTTACATGTAACGTACACGTTATATTACCTGTTATATTCCGTTTTATTATAACAATATAACAATTATATATCGGTGTTTGCTGGGTTAAAAATTAAACATTAAAAATTAAAAATTAGTTAATTGTTACCGTATACTTACAATTGTTTCCGAATAAATTGAGATGACCATGCCTCTAATTGTTGTTGAACTTAGTACTTGACTGATGTCGAATTATTTAAAAAGTTGAATAAATAGGTGTCAAGTCGCAAAACATAAACATTTTAATAAGTCTAAAAATTCGCTATTTCTTCTAGAATGTCAAAATAAGCGTTGTTGAGCAATTCAGTGTCTGTATTATTATTTATACCATGCTTTTGTTCCTTTATGTGTATCATCCGAGATAAGTCTTTTATAATAGTTAGATTCAATATCAAGTATTTTGACGTTATTCCAATCAAAAGCATGTTTTTTATCTACAATATGTTCCGAGACCACCGAATGCTTAGAAGAATCAAATTTAATGTTATTTATAATCTCTAAAAACTCACCTTTAAAAAAAGGTAAAAAAAGGCGACCAGTTAAGGGCACGCCATTAACAAAAATTATCCATTGCAAACCCATGTAGAATCCTATCCTATTGCAAACCCATGTAGAATCCTATAAAAAATTAATCATTGCAAACCCATGTAGAATCCTAGGCAAAATTAACCATTGCAAACTCATGTAGAATTGTATTAAAAATGATCCATTGCAAACTTATGTAGAATCCTACATTGCAAACCCATGTACAATAGAATTGTATGAAAAATTATCGATTATAAATTCATGTACAATCGTAACAAAAGTAATGAAATAAAAAAAAAATTGCGCCAAGTGAAAGTAGAAACTTGTACCAGTGGAAAATTAAAGTTGCAGACATATATAGAGTCGTATAATGAATCAGTAAAAATTTAAATTTGCAAATGTAGAATCGTACCATAAAAAAACTTATCTTTTAAAAAAAAAGATAAACAAGATGCCAAGTCCATGCGCCATGTAAAAAAGAAATAAAAAAATTTTAGTTAAAAAAACTGGGCGCGCTGCTAAGTTTCAAAATTACAATGCACCTTAAAGTAACATTAATTAATTTAAACACAAAACATATTTTAACTGTAATGAGTTTAAAAGTAACAATTTAATTTTAATATTGTTAGAATATTATTTAGCAGCGCTCCCAGTTTTTTTAACTAAAATTTTTTTATTTCTTTTTTACATGGCGCATGGACTTGGCATCTTGTTTATCTTTTTTTTAAAAGATAAGTTTTTTTATGGTACGATTCTACATTTGCAAATTTAAATTTTTACTGATTCATTATACGACTCTATATATGTCTGCAACTTTAATTTTCCACTGGTACAAGTTTCTACTTTCACTTGGCGCAATTTTTTTTTTATTTCATTACTTTTGTTACGATTGTACATGAATTTATAATCGATAATTTTTCATACAATTCTATTGTACATGGGTTTGCAATGTAGGATTCTACATAAGTTTGCAATGGATCATTTTTAATACAATTCTACATGAGTTTGCAATGGTTAATTTTGCCTAGGATTCTACATGGGTTTGCAATGATTAATTTTTTATAGGATTCTACATGGGTTTGCAATAGGATAGGATTCTACATGGGTTTGCAATGGATAATTTTTGTTAATGGCGTGCCCTTAACTGGTCGCCTTTTTTTACCTTTTTTTAAAGGTGAGTTTTTAGAGATTATATCATTCATTTTTGTATATTTTTATGACCGGAATAGAACAATTATTAAACATGTTTATCTAAACTTCTTTGCTTAAAATGATGTGTACAATCATATCCTAGAATCCTGATCATTCCTCCTAAAGCACCCTATTTATATAAATTTACCCATATGTGTGTGTGTGTGTGTGTGTACTAATGTCGAGCATTTTTTATACATTTTCTATTAAATTTAGATAAAAGTTGCAGGATTTCGAAAAAGAAAAAGTTGACACAGACTTTTTCCTAAACGGCGATTTTCAAGGTTATTTAAAGGTCACTTATATTTTCAAAATAGAATTACCTTAATTTTTCTCATATAAATCGATTCCTCGCAATATTTACTATAAAAAGTTGTAAAGGTATAATTTTTACATAATCTTACATAAACTTCGAAATATTACAAATATTTTATTCTATGAAATATTTCAGTTTATGTAAAATTATGTTAACTATCTTTTAAATTATTCACTTTTAGCCATCTTACCCTTACAACCTTTTATAGTGAATATTGCAACAAATTGGTTTATATATATAATATATATATAACATCAGTTATTATTAATTGATGTTTACATTTATTTTTAGACTTACTAGAGCTCTAATGCTCCACATTTTTTGCAAAAACTGTTTATTCTACAGATTTCAAATATGCTTTTAAATGATGATTGAATATTTCCTTTTTTTAATTATTTTTATTATTATTTTTCAATCTCAATCAACTTTTATAACTTTATGCCAGCACGATACAAATACATGTGTCTTTATTTTTTTTATTATTTTCATTATTATTTTTCAATCTCAATCAACTTCTATAACCTTATGCCAGCAGGATACAAATACATGTATGTCTTTATTATTGTATCAACTCTTGTCTTTTCCATGTAACCATGTCTTCATAGTTTGAATTATCCCTTCATCTTCTCAATCTTTCGCAGAGATTTAATTAATTAAATACACTTCACACGAAATAAAGTTTGCTGGAAGATATACAGCAAACGATAACTGTAAAAACATGATTACGTGGAAAGAACAAGAGTTGGTACAGTAAAGGCAAGTAAGTAAGTACATGTAATGTATCGTATTGGCATAACGCTATATCCGCGGAGCAGATAATGTGGCTGTAGAGGTAGTCTGCAGTGCAGCTAATGTGGACGTAGATGTTGATTGAGATAATTGTCTAATATAAAATAGAATTTAAAAATTTAGTTTAAAAAGCTGTTGCATATATAAATAAAGTTTATTTTTTCTAAATTTGGAATATGTTTAATTAATTAATTTTTTAAGTTTATGTTTAATAAATTTTTTAAGTCTGTATTCAATAATTTTATTCATTTGATAAATACATGTATGTCTTTATTTTGATATGTTTAATATAATTAGAAATTCATTATTAATTAGATATGTAAACTATAAATTCATATATAATATTTGAAAATATATGTGAATATTTAAATTTTTATCTTCTCCTTCCTCTCCTTCAATCTCTTTAATATCAATATGTGTATGTGTGTACACGCGCGCACATTTGTACGTATTTATTTAATTATTGGATAGTTGAGAGTACTTAATTGATAAAAAATT